TAGGGACTGCTGTTCTCTGTCATATACACAGGGGCTAATATTCTCTGCAATTTACACAGGGCTGCTACTTTCTATAATATACACAAGGGCTGCTGTTCTCAGTATTAACAACAGTGAATATTGTTCTCCATAATATACACAGGTCCTACTATTCTCTATAATATACACAGGGCCTGGTATCCTCTATACTATATACAGGGACTGCTATTCTCTGTAATATACACAGGGACTGCTATTCTCTATAATATACACAGGGACTGCTATTCTCCATAATATACACAGGAGCTGCTGTTCTCCATGATATATAGAGGGACTGCTGCACTCCAAAACATACACAGGGGCTGCTATTCTGAATAGTATCAACAGTGAGTGCTATTCTCCATAATATACACAGAGCCTGATATTCTCTATAATATACACAGGACCTAGTATTCAGTATAATATACACAAAGACTGCCATTGTCTGTAATATACACAGGTCTAATATTTTCTATAATATACTCAGGGACTGCCGTTCTCTATAATATACTCAGGAACTGCCATTCTCTATAATATACACAGGGACTGCCGTTCTCTATAACATACATAGGGACTGCTATTCTCCATAATATACACAGGGGTTGCTATTCTCTCCAATTTCCACAGAGAGTGTTTTCTCTATAACATACACAGGGAGTGCTATTTTCTGTAACATACACAGGGTCTGATGTTCTCTATAACATACATAGGACGTGCTATTCTCTATAATATATACAAAGCTTGGTATTCTCCATAATATATACTGCACTGCTGTTCTCAATAATATCAACAGGGACTTCTATTCTCTGTAATATGTACAGGGGCTAATATTCTCTATAATTTGCCATGGGTTGCTACGTTTTATAATGTACACAGGGGCTGCCATTCTCTATAATATTCACAGGGGCTGCTATTCTCTAGTATATACACAGGGGCTGCTGTTCTCCATAATATACACAGGGTCTGTCACTTTCTATAATATGCACAGGTTCTGATATTTTCTATAAGTTACCCAGGGCCTGCTATCCTCTATAATTTTCACAGGGGCTGGTGTTTTCTATACAGCACATAGGATCTGATATTCTGTATAATATACACAGGGACTGCTAATCTCTGTAATGTACACAGGGGCTAATATTCTGTAAATTATATACACAGACTGTTATTCTCTATGATATGCACAGGGTCTGCTATTCTCTATAATATACACGGGGACTGCCAATCTCTGTATTATTGATAGGCGCTAATATTCTCTATAATATACACAGGGGATGCTATTCTGTGTAATATACACAGGGTTGCTTATCTCTATACTTCACACAGGAACTGCTATGCTCTTCACTCTTTTAAATAAGAACAAATGATTTTGTCAGTGCCTAGTTTGGCACTGTAAATAAAACCGGTAGGTGAACAGAAGCCGAAAAAACTTAAATAACTTTACCTAAGTGATGATACAGCAATCCTTGCAATGCCTACTGTTCTCTAAACACAATTCTCCTGTCGACTCTGTTAAAATAAACCTTAAACAAGCTGGACAGCCCCTGGTGGGAAAGCAACACAAACACAAAAGCAAACGGTGATCCTCCTGAGTCTGAGGGCCTATTTAGCCGTGATAGAGGATAAACCAATATTGAAACTTAACAAGAAGTACTTGTTTTAACACCAGCAACAAGTTTATTGCATGACAGCAATGGGGATCAGACAGATTGCCTAGTGAAGTATTACAAAGACTCTCAGTAGCCAGAGATTACAGGACTGTCTCTGTTTTCTCTAGAATTTAGAAGGTAAAGGCGGGTGGTTGGGGGGGCGGGTGGTTGGTGGTGGTGGTGGTGATCTGATCAAAGTCTTCAAGATCTTAACAGGAAAAGACAGCTTACTTTATGTACTTTATTTCCATTGGTTCAGGATTCTAGAACTAGGGGTTGTAGTCTGAGAATTAGGGCCAGACCATTCAGGAGAGATGTTAGGAAACACTCTTACACATAAAGCTTACTGGTTATTTGGAACTCTCTTGCATAACTGGTACTGGGTGCTGGATCAGTTGTTAATTTTAAATCTGAGATAGATTTATTTTTGCTCAGCAAATGTGTTAAGGGATATAGGCCAATGGAGTTGGGCCACAGATCTGCCATCATCTCATTAAATGGTGAAATTGGCTCAAGGGGCTGAATGGCCTACTCCTGTTTCTATGTTCCTATGTTACTGGGATCGTGTGCTGGACTCATTCTCCTCCATTCAAAGACAGTGACATCAAAAGATTGGGTGGAACTTAATGCAGTTTCAGCGTTAACTCATTATCTTATAAAACAACTGTCAGAGCCAGGAATATTGCAGGTAGTTATGCAATGATAGAAATGTTCACTTAAAACACTTTAGGCTCACAATATAGTTATTGTCGAAATAACTCCACACAGTCCAGTATTCTGTCACCAAGCCCCGCTTTATTTACACGTGGAGAGTCCTTGGCACTGGTCCGGTTCCCTCAGAGCCAGCTCTCAGAGTGAACAGGATGTCTGACACTCCTGTTCTTATCTGTCAGCCAGGGCTCCCTGATTGGATCAGATTAACAGCCCCAATCAGGGAACTCATATTCTATAAGGTGCAGCTGGCTGATCATATTACAATTGTTGCAGCTGTGACTTCTGCTTCCCGTAACTGAGAACTGTTCCCACTTCAACTTTAAAACACTGAAGCTTCATCGAAAGTGTCTATAGCCCAGACCATCACAGAAGCCAACTTCCCATCCTTGGACTCAATCTACGCTTCTCATTGCTGTTGAAAGGCAGCCAAAGGCCCCTCACAGCCCGGTTGTACTCTATTCCAATCTCTTCCATCAGGCAGGAGACACAGAGGCTCAAACACACGCACCAACCGGTTCAAGAACAGCTTCTTTCCCATTGTTATTAGACTGATGAATGGACCACTCTAATTTCACATCTAATGTTGATCTTGCTTTGTGTACCTTCTGTACAGCTGTAACCTTGTATACCTCTATTACCCTATGATCTGTATGGTCTTGTGTGTTATGATCCACCTGTACTGCATGCAAACCAAAACTTTTCACTGTACTTAGGTACCTAGGAAAACAATAAATCAAATCAAATCTCTTACTCTCCATGAGGCTTGTGGACTGAAAGAATGAAACATTGCTACTCAGCACAGGACTGCAATGTGACAGTAAGTGTGGTACTCTGGGTTACACATTCACAAAACAGTCAGTTCCTGGCTCTTTCCAAATAATCTAACAAATCAGAAGTTCCCCTATTTAATCAGGACCCTGTTGGTCTCTGGTGAAAATTTGCAAATCTTTGCTGAAGATTTATGCATTTCTCAGTCCCTGAACACATGGTTATTTAAACCTCTAATAGGTTGTGATGTGACATGATATGACAGGCCTCTAAGGTTTTGGAGTAGATTTGTAGCTCGGGTTGTGGGTGTTGAGGTTGGTTGGCTCGCCGAGCTGGTTTGTTGTTCTGCAGATGTTTCGTTACAGTGCTGGGTAACATCATCAGTGCAGCCTCTGATGAAGCGTTGGTGTGTTTTCCCGCCTGGCTTTTAAACTCTGGGGTCTGTTGCGATGGATTGCCTCACTTCTGGGTTTCCTCCGTAGTGGAATGTATATGGGGTCGAGTTCAATGTGTTTATTAGTAGCCTGCTTCATGGAGTGCCATGCTTCCAGGAATTCTCGTGCTTGTCTCTGCCTAGCCTGTCCCAGGATCTTGGTGTTGTCCCAGTCAAAGTCGTTGTTCTCCTTGTCCATGTGGATTGAGATGAGTGAGTATTGGTCGTGTCTTTTTGTAGCCAGTTGGTGTTCATGTACTCTTGTTATTAGTTTCCTTCCTGTTTGTCTGATGTAGTGTTTCTCGCGGTCTCTGCAGGGGATCTTGTAGATGACATTGGTCCTGTCCATGGCGGGGAGTGGGTCTTTAGCTCACCTGAACTAAAGACCCACTCCCCACCATGGACAGGACCAATGTCTAGGCTAGGCAGAGACAAGCACAAGAATTCCTGGGAGCATGGCACTCCATGAAGTAGGCTATTAATAAACACATTGAACTCGACCCCATATACATTCCACTATGGAGAAAACCAAGAAGTGAGGCAATCCATCGCAACGGATCCCAGAGTTTAAAAGCCAGGCGGGAAAACACACCGACGCTTCATCAGAGGCTGCACTGATGATGTTACCCAGCACAGTAACGAAACGTCTGCAGAACAACAAACCAGCTCGGCGAGCCAACCAACCTCAATATGACAGGCCCCAATAAGAGCCTTTGCTTAGTAGACAATGGAATACTGTGTTGAACTTCTGGGAGCCAGTTGGACATGACCCTTTGGGAATTGAAGGAAAATTCCAACCTTTTATTGCCTGATAAAAGGATTTTATGAAATGTCCTTTCATTATTAATGAGCAACTGGTTATCAATAAACAATTGTGAACTTGAGTAAAATCAGTGTGGATTAAACAAAGTGATGAACAGTTTGACTCTTTGGCAGGCAGCTATAGACTAATGTTCCTGAATAGGGACAGATGGACATGACCATACACAATGTTTATCTTTAATATTAACTGAAATGAATGGGACCAAGGGATAAATGTTTAAAATTTCCTGATACTTGCCGAGTGATGCTGCTGAAAAGGAGACCATTTCATTGCCATTCCCCTCCATTTCCTCACGGTCCTGCACAGTTTTCTTGTCAAGTTTTTGTCCAATACCCTTTTGCAATTTAATAATCAATCTGCTTCCACTTCCGGCACTGTGTAATTCTGTGGATGAACTATCTCCTTTCTTCCCTTCATTCTGTGGTGACCAAGCCTTCAGTAAGCACACTCCCTCACCCCACCCACCCAAACATTCTCTCTGTCATTCCCCCTTTCAAAACCTCCTGATTTTACGTACACTCCCTACTCCTTGACAGAGGCACAGACTTACTGTCTAAGGACATCTCTCACATTGAACCCCCTCTGTAAAGTACAGTTGCTGCAACATCCACTCCCCATACTGCCCCATTAGCTGAGTATACCAGGGCACCTACCTTTCTGTGTGATGCAGTGCCACTCTGTAAGGTTGGCCATGAGGGAGGAGATTGCCACAGCGATGACTGATGGGTAAACCCACAGTGTGAATACTAATTATTGCCTCCCAGTCTTCTGCAGACTGAGAGGAAGGGAAACAAGAGGAAACTGTTAGCACCAAACAATTAATCCACAGCTGTCACAACACCCAAAATAAACCACCTGAACCATCATCTTTCACTCTATGATTGTGGTTTGGGAACTTAGGAAGTGTATTCTGTGGGAAAGCTTTCCTCAGAATCACAGCTGTACCACACCTGAAACTATGACATATAAAACAGAGAGATAGAAAGACAGAGAGAGACAGTGAGGAGACAGAGACAGAGAGGAGAGAAAGACAGTGTGGAGAGAAACGGTGGAAATATGGAGAGAGAGACTGACAGAGGGCTATAGAGAGCTAGAGAGAGAGAGCTGAGAAAGGCAGAGAAATAGACAGAGATTAAACGGAGAGAAAGTCAAAGACAGAGACAGAGGAGATAGAGAGAAAGAGAGAAAAAAATCAAGTGTTCATTGTTTTCTGTCTGGTGCAGAATTCCTTTACTAGAGAAGATCAAGGCCAGTGATGCAAGGGACATCGACCCTGGAACATCAGTGATTTGCAAGTGGCGCACCCGTGGGGTTAAACAGGGTTCATACAGAGGTCACACTGGTGTTGTGTGAGAATGAGAGAATTAACACACATGACAGTACTCAGGAAATGAGTATATGTGCAAACGTTTGCAGTTGTGGGTCTGTAGGACACACAAAGGTGGTCTCAGCAGACTGTGAAAATGTGTGACAGTGGAAATAAAATGTGAAAAGTAAGTATGTAATTGGGTCTATGTGATTGTGAGAAAATCAAAAATGAAATGTATGGAAGGAATTAAGATCTCAGAATGTCTGTGAGTTTATGGCAGCAAGGATATGCGTATGAAAGTAAGCAATAGAGTATATTCGAGTTAGCATGAAAGATTGAGTGTTTGTACGTGTGCGAGTGATAGTATCAGGTTAATGGATGAGTGATAGTGAGTGTGTTTGTGTGCAAATGTGGGTAGCAGTGAGACTGATGAGGGCATAGGTGGGAAACAATGAGTTTGAGCAAGTTGATCGTTTTGTTTAATTCATTCACAGGAGGAGAGCATCTCAGGCTAGATCAGCATTTATTGTCCATCCCTAATTGCCCAGAGGGCAGGTAAGAGTCAACCACATTGCTGTGGGTAGGAGTCACATGTAGGCCAGACCAGGTAAGGATGGCGTTTCCTTCCCATTAGTGAACCTGATGGGTTTTTTTCCAATGACCAGCAATTAACAGTCCAGTGACAATACCACTAGTCCATCATCTCTCCATATGAGGGAGATGGAATGTGAATGAAATTAATTATGAATGATCTCCAGTGTGAGTGATAGTAGCCATGCGGTTATTGGATGGAGGAGCAGGCTGGAGGGATTGAGCAGGATTGAGGGCCTGAATGACCTATTCCTGCTCCTGATTCATGTGTTTGTGTGTTCGAGAGGGAACGTGAGCAAGACTGAGAATTGATAGGGGAAGTCGATGACCTAGTGGTATTATCGCTGGACTATTAATCCTGAGACGCAGATAATGCTCTGGGAACCCAGGTTCAAATCCTGCCACAGCAGATAGTCAAATTTGAATTCATTAGAAAGAAATCTGGAATTAAGGGTCTAATGATGACTGTGAATCCATTGTTGATTGTTGGAAAAACCCATCTGGTTCACTAATGTCCTTTATGGAAGGAAACTGGCATCCTTACCAGGCCTACATGTGACTCCAGACCCACAGCAATGTGGTTGACCCTTAACGACCCTCTGGGCAATAAATGCTGCCTGGCCAGTGATGCCCACGTCCCATGAATGTGTTTTTAAAAATTATCAGCGAATAGCTCTCACTCTGGTTGCTGTTACCAAGCAGGAAGTTTGTTGCCAGGTCCCAGCAGCAGTAGACAGGTTTTATTTCCTATTTGTACAGTTTGAGAATTAAACAGATTGTCAGCTCCACACGCAGAAAAAGATCCCGGTCCAACCACCAAAACAGACTGATTGACATTGTCGTGAGGTCCCTGGTTCCTCACAGTTGCTGCCAGTTGCTCGTACCTCAGGCTCATAGCGCACCATCACATTATAATCCATAGCATACGGGATGTTACTGACGTGAAATAACAACCCTGCTCCATCCTGGACCCGAGCAAATCCCTGACCACTCCAAGTGATCATCTGGTGCGGCGGCCGCTTCCGATTAACAATTTCCACGTACGCCTGCAATCAATGACAAACCAAAATTACTCAGCAAACGCTGTGGGAGATAAGATAGGGTGGATTGAGAGGACTTACATCCCTTGCCAAAGAGGTCAATAAGCAGGGACCAGAGAAGTGAAGTCATTTGTAGACAGAGTAGAGGGGAGTTGAGGAGGATTTGTTTCACTGAAAGGTTGGTAAATAGGACACGGCAGAGGCAGAAACACTCGTCATATTGAAAAACACTTGGAAGCACCAAGGAACTTGGGAGTCCGAGTTCACAATTCTTTTAAGATTAACGTGGAGGTTCAATTGGCAGCTAGGAAGGTAAATGCAGTGTTAGCATTCATTTCCATTGGGCTAGAATGCAAGAGCAGAGATGTTCTACTGAGGATGTACAAGGCTCTGGTCAGACAGCATTTGGAATGTTGTGAGCAGTTTTGGGCCCTGTATCTAAAAGTGTGAGGTGATTCACTTTGGAAGGAGTAACAGGAATACAGAGTACTGGGCTAATGGTAAGATTCTTGGTAGTGTGGATGAGCAGAGAGATCTCGGTGTCCATGTGCATAGATCACTGAAAGTTGCCACCCAGGTTGATAGCATTGTTAAGAAGGCGTACGGTGTGTTAGGTTTTATTGGTAGAGGGATTGAGTTTCGGAGCCATGAGGTCGTGTTGCAGCTGTACAAAACTCTGGTGCGGCCGCACTTGGAGTATTGCGTACAGTTCTGGTCACTGCATTATAGGAAGGATGTGGAAGCATTGGAAAGGGCGCAGAGGAGATTTACCAGGATGTTGCCTGGTATGGAGGGAAGGTCTTATGAGGAAATGCTGAGGGACTTGAGGCTGTTTTTGTTAGAGAGAAGAAGGTTAAGAGGTGACTTAATAGAGACATACAAAATGATCAGAGGATTAGATAGGGTGGACAGTGAGAGCCTTTTTCCTCGGATGGTGATGGCTAGCACGAGGGGACATAGCTTTAAATTGAGGGGTGATAGATATAGGACAGATGTCAGAGGTAGGTTCTTTACTCAGAGAGTAGTAAGGGCGTGGAATGCCCTGCCTGCAAAAGTAGTAGACTCGCCAACTTTAAGGGCATTTAAATGGTCATTGGATAAACATATGGATGATAATGGAATAGTTTAGGTTAGATGGGCTTCAGATTGGTTTCACAGGTCGGCACAACATCGAGGGCCGAAGGGCCTGTACTGCGCTGTAATGTTCTATGTTCTATCTGAGGAAGGGTGTGCTGGAGTTGGAGGGAGTGCAGAGGAGGTTTATAAGAATGATCCCTGGGATGAAGGGCTTGCCATATGAGGACTCTTGGTCTGTACTTGATGGAGTTTAGAAGGATGAGGGGGGATCTGATTGAATCTTACAGAATGCTGAGAGACCTGGAGAGAATGGACATGAGGAACATGTTTCCACTAGTAGGAGAGACTAGAACTTGGGGCACAGCCTCAGAGTGAAAGGATGACCCTTTAGAGCTGATGTGAGAAGGAATTTCTTCAGCCAGAGGGGTTGAATCTGTGGAACTCATTGCCACAGAAGGCTGTAGAGACCAAGGTAGAGACAGAGGTAGACAGTTTCTTAATTAGTAAGAGGATCAAGAGTTACAGGGAGAAGGCAGGAGAGTGGGGTTGAGAAACATATCAGCCATGGTCAAATGGCAGAGGAAACTCAATGGGTTGAGTGGCCTAATTCAGCTCCTGTATCTTATTGTCTTATGGAAATACGCTCAGGATGCTGTAACCTACAGAGCGATAGACAAGAGCCGAGGCTCGGAATAGATGAAGTATGAGCCAGTAGAGACAGATAGGGCCAAATGACCTCTTGAGCTGTAAATCTTCCATTTTTCCAACTTGGTAGCATTGGAGAGAATGGTCCATTGCTCAGCAAAACACTATTGCTTGATTGGAATACAGCTGGAATCACTTACAGCTCTCATCCCTCTACCTCACTTCACCAAGACAACATGAATGAGGAGCAAATGACAGTAACTCCAAACTCAAGGTCAGAGAATAAAATTAAAGGGAGCTCTGACCTTGTTTCCAGTCATGTTTTGTCATTCTTTCATGTCCTTGCTTAAATCAGACAGCATCCCTTCAATGCAAGAGATTCAAACTCACTAAATAAATGCCTCCAACTTTTGCTAAGTGACCTGTAAAATATGTTCAGAACACATAAATATTCAAGGACTATGAGAAACTGAAAAATGGAACTGTTTGGACATTTCTGGGTTGAAAAGGTTTATCTTTCTTGGAGATAAAAAGTTAAGAAATGAAAGTGTGTGGGTTATCTGATGTCAACTGTGAAAGAAGGAAATTTTGGGAGACGAATCCAATGGAGCTTTTGAGAGAAATCAGGGTAAACTTTCTGACCCTTAATTGTTGGACAGACTTGGAAAAACCCTAGGATCAGAACCAGTCGTCCAGCAACAGCCTCTGGGGTCAAGTCACTGTGTGTTTTCACATACCTGGGATGTGAATTGTTGAAGAAACTTGTAGCATAAGTAGCTCGCTCTTTCAGTCAGTAAGAGACAAAACCTTAAAGCAAAACTAGCTGAAACCACTGTCTCTCAGTAAAATAGTTTGTAAACTTAGTAAAGTTCCAAACGTTAGCATTCCTAACTGTTTCCCATGTGAATCCAAAATCCATTCTAAAAAGCTCTTCAGTCATTCTACAACTGTCAGAGATGTGATCTCATCAATCAATTCGAAGGAACTATGAGAAGTTAACCCATTCCACCTTGTGAATTTGTACACTGTCACTTTTTTAGCTTAACTTCTTCAAACTCAGTATTTTTGCAGAGCTGTGTTGTCTTAAACTCAGTATTTTTGCACAGCTGTGTTGTCTTGTCAAACTCAGTATTTTTGCAGAGCTGTGTTGTCTTAAACTCAGTATTTTTGCAGAGCTGTGTTGTCTTGTCAAACTCAGTATTTTTGCAGAGCTGTGTTGTCTTAAACTCAGTATTTTTGCAGAGCTGTGTTGTCTTGTCTGTATGAATTGTGAGTGTTTGGGATTAAGGGGATGTAATTTAATTATGAAAAGTAGCTTAGTTGTTATTCATCTTTTCCATTCATTTAAAGAATAAGTCTTGCTTGTAATAAAACAAATAAATTTAAGTTCACTAAAGAGCTCTGGAGGACATTTCTGTTTTTATTTGGATAGCAGGACAAATGAGGGATAAATTGGCCATTTTGGTGGTACAATAAGACATTTACACTTTTGGGACAATGTGGAGGTGTCTGGCAAGGTTGGCATTTATTGTCCATCTGTGATTACCTTCAGATGTTGATTAGCGACCTTTGTGAACTAGTGATAGCAAGTTTGAGAAAACTAAATGTTTTGGTCATTTCAAACAATCAGATAAGGATTGACCAGGTCGAGGGATAAATATTGGTCAGGGCTCAAGTGTGAATTCATTATTTTCCAGAGAAGTGCAATGGGGTTTTTTACATTCACCTGGTAGGGCAGAGATGGCCTCAGTTAATATTCCTGCTGAAGGTAGCTGCTCTGGCCATGCAGCATCCCCACAGTATGACACTGTAGGGGCCAGCCTAAAATTCCCATTCACATCTCTGTCCCAAGGTGCCTCATAGGAGTTCAACCAAACAAGTGTTCAACCAAAAACCTTCTGACTCTGAACTGAGAGAAAGTACGTGTGTATACTAGAACTGTTGCAACACAGAACTGGCCATTCAGCCCATCTGCATAAGCCGGAGGGAGACAGTGAGAACAGCAGCCACCAAATACCAGGAGGGGAATATTGTAGATGGAGTTAGCACTTTGTGAAAAGGAGTTGTTAGTAAGACAACTACATGTCAACACAGGCCAGCTGTTTGCCATCCACACTCGGTGGCTGCTTTCTTATCAAAGCTCCCCACAGCCCCAGGTGCTACCCCTTTCCTGTAGACAGAGATCCTCTGGTGACACCTACCTTTCGTTGGCGGATTTTTCGATGGCGATGTCTCAATGCCCGGGCATAGGATGCCTGGCGGTGTTGCCTCCTCCGCCTGACAATCTCTTGGACTTCCAGCCCATGCCGGAGGGTGAAATTAATGCAGTTGCCATTCACCTGGTTTTTGATTGCCCCCTGAAAGAAAGCAGCTGGAATTGAAGTGAAAACCTACACTGAGCCAGCAGCGTGTCACCTCTAAATGCACCGTTTCTCCTGGGTTTGTGCCAGGACCTCTCCACAGATCCAAAACCTCAGATCCTCCACGCAGCAGCAACAATTATTCACAGATCAACACAAATGTACCCATCGTAAGGACAGGAAAGAGCCCTTTGCTACGTCCACTCAATTCCTACTATAACTGTACAAGGTACTGGTGAGACCACATCTGGAGTACTCTGGGCAGTTTCAGTCTCTTATTTTAGGAAAGATATAATTTTATTGGAGGCAATTCAGAGAAGGTTGTCTAGGATGACCCTGGCCTGGAAGGATTGTCTTAAGACCAAAGGCCAAACATTTTGGGACTCTACTCACTGGAGTTTAGCAGAATGAGAGGTTCATTGAAACATGTCGGATTCTTAAGGGGCTTGACAGGGTCAATGCTGAGAGAATATTTCCCCTCATGGGAGAGTCTAGGACCAGAGGGCATAGTCTCAGGATAAAAGAATGCCAATTTAAGACTGAGATGAGGAGGAATTTCTCCTTTCAGAGGGTTGAGAGTCTTTGGAACTCCTTACCACAGAGAGCTGTGGGGGCAGAGTCCTTGTGTGTATTTAAGGCTGAGATCGATAGATTCTTGATCAGTCGGGGAATGAAGGGTAAGCGGTAAGGACAGGAAAGTGGATGTGAGGAATGTTGGATCAGTTGTGATCCTACTGAATGGTGAAGTGGGCTCAAGGGGCTGAATGGCCTACGCCTATTTCTAATGCACTTGTGCAGCCAATACAGGAATATGGGAAAAGTCAACAGATTGGCACCAGATAACACAGCCATTCAAGGCCTAATGGGCTGAATGGCCTTCTTCTGCACCGTAATGATTCTGTGATTCACACAGTTGTGATGCCTTTTGCAGTAACGAACCGCATTGGTATGGCTCCTTTAATAAATTAAGATGCCCATGGTTCTCCACTAAAGTTCAACCAAACAAAGTTCTGGGATCACATTACATGAGATATTAGGGCAGGGGATAGAGAAAGGTTTTAAGGACGATCTTAAAGGAAGAGAGTGGGATAGGTTTTGGGAGAAGGTTTTGGTGCCTAGGTTGCAGGCATGGCCACCAGAGGTTGAATGATGGAAATTTGGGATGCTGAAGAGTCAACCCCCACTCTCAGCCATGTATTTTCAGGGACTGACCGATTCAGGGGAAGGTTTGAACTGGTCTCAGCATTCACTCTGGCTCAGATAAACACTAACAGGTCCCTCCCTCTTCCAGCCCTGGCAAAAACTGGGTCAACTTTCAGACTGAATACATCCAGGTCCTGAAACCTGGGGAAAGAAGACACTCTGACAGTTAACCTAACTCAGCTGCTGGCCACATCCAGCCGTGGTTTATCTGTACATCCTCCAACCTGGTCTACTGTATCTGTTGCTCCCAACGAGGTCTCCTCCATATCGGTCAGACCAAGCACAGGCTCGGTGACAGATTTGCAGAGCATCTGCACTCCATACACAATAACCATCAACACATTACGGTTGCGAACCATTTTAACTCCCCTCCCACTCCCTGGGTGACATGTCTATCCTGGGCCTCCTCCAGTGTCACAATGATGCCACACACAAACTGGAGGAGCAACACCACATATTCTGCCTCAAGAGCCTACAGCCCAATGGCCTAAACATGGATTTCACCAGTTTTAAAATCTCCCCACCCCCCGGCCTCATCCCATGTCTAAACCTCTCTCTCATTCCTGCCTCCTTGACCTGACACAACCTGTCCATCTTCTTCCCCACCTATCTGCCTCACCTTTCCCACTGACCAATCCCCACTACCCCTACCTGCATTCACCTTTCACCTTGCCCCATCCATCCCTCTTCCCTCTATTTATTTTCCAGCTACCTTTCACCTCCCCAGTCCTGATGAAGGGTGTAGGCCCAAAACATCAACTTTCCTGCTCCTCTGATGCTGCCTGACCTGCTGTGTTCCTCCAGCTCCACACCGTATTTACTCTGAGTCTAGCATCTGCAGTTCTTGCTATCTCTCAGCTGCTGGTCTAACCTAGTGCTGCTCCCAATCTAACCTAGTTCAACTCCCACTCTAACTGAGTTCTAACCTAGCCCGATCTAACCTAGTTCGGCTCCCGTTCTAAACTAGTTCAGTACCCCATTCTAACATAATTCAGTGATTTTGTGCAGGTTAAAAAGCCACAAACATCATCCTCAGTAGAACTGCACTCTGAATTATTTCTGAGAGCTGTAAGATTTTAATGCCCTCTGTGTTGTCTCCTTGCTTTGCTCTTGGCATTGCCCTGGAGAATAATAATTAATTTCTGGAGACTACAGGACAAGCCTGGAGTCTGGCAGGGAGTCAGAGATGAGGGCTGGCCCACACATGCAGAGGCAGAGTGAAAATGTCCCATGTTCCCACATTAAACCAGGGGCTGAAATAGGAACCTTCTTCATGTACAGATTTGTTGTGATCTGGGAGTCTGTTGCTTGTCGGGTGGGTGGAAGCAGATTAAACAGGATTTTCAAAGGGAAGTGGAGAAATAATTGGAAAGAAGTCATTTTCAGGGTTATGGGGAAAGTGAGATTAATTGGGCAACTGCTACCAAAGGCGGGATTAGAGTAGGTAGATGATTGTTTTTGACCAGCACAGATGTGATGGGCCGAAGGTCCTTTTTCTGTGCTGTAGATCTCTATATGATTCTATGACACTAGGTCAGCACAAACATGATGGGTCAAATTACTTGCCCTTGTGCTCTGAGATTCTCTGATGCGGATAAATGTAACCTGGAGATTGTTAGGGACGTGGCAGTACAGAGAATGCATTTTAAAGTGCTCTCTGATTGGAATGGCGGTGGCTATCTTTATGATAGTATCTCTAGTGAAGCCCTCACAGTATGTCTTGAGATCTAGCTAATGGGCGTCCCACCTTAGAAAGGGTAGGGACCACCTAACTGGGAGCAGACGTGTATGAGCATGAGCTGTAAGGTTATTGGAAGTTGAAGTGGGAGATGATGGACCCACACTGTGTCATTCTGAGTCTAAACATCAGCCTCCACCCCATCACACTGTCTCAGAATTCCAAAATACCAACTGGCTCCTTATCATCTCCAGCTGATTTAAATCTACTTCATAGATTCTGCTGCTTGATGTCTGACAGTTTCTGTAGGTTACAGTATCAGAAAATATCATCATTAACTAGTTACACACACACACAGACACACACAAACACACTCACACACACACAGACACAGACATAGACACACACACGCACACACACACACACACAGACACGCACTCATACACATGTGCACACACACACACACAGAGCTGCACATTCAAACACACACACAGACATACACACACACAGACACATACACACACAGACACACACACACACACAGACACACACACACACACTCTCAGGCACACACACATAAAAGCAAGTTAACTGAGCCCAATGTGCCTGCCTTGGGAAAACCCCTGTGCCAGTATTCAGCTGCCCGATAACAATCAGGTTTTTGACCACATTCCCGTACCTGGAGGCACTCCACTGGCCAATGAAAGGCCTCACATCAGATGGGATATTACCCATTCTCCATTTGTGCTGGTGTCTCTATCTTGGATTCTGATTTCCCTCGATAACTGCTCGCTTTCTCTGACCTGAGCCCCCTTCTCATTGACAACTTATTCATTTATAACTAATCGTCTGATTAAGGGGGTAGGAAGGGGTAACAGCAGGGTGACAGTTCACATAGACATTGCAGCCAGAGGAAGTTATAACAATAGCACAGAAATAATGACGGGACATACATGTGAAAATAGTTCACAGAAATGCTTCTAATATAGAGCCTGTTGAATAAACAGACATGTTGTTTGCTGGGGTTTCTGGGGTAGATCTCAGCCACGTGACATCATTACCTGATGTAAGGTGACACTGGACAATTTAATCAAACTTTTATCCAGATATATGTCCCATTGCCCACTCTATATAGATCTACACAACCTGTAGCAAGATCAGTTCTTAACCTGGTACAATCTGGAACAGTGTGATATAGTGAGGTACAGAGTGATATAGTGAGGTACAGAGTGATATAGTGAGGTACAGTGTGATATAGTGAGGTACAGAGTGAGACAGTGAGATACAGAATGAGACAAAGCGAGACAGTGAGGTATAGAATGAGACAGTGAGGGACAGTGAGGTACAGAGTGGGACAGAGCGAGACAGTGAGGTATAGAATGAGACAGAGTGAGACAGTGATGGCCAGACTGAGACAGTAAGGTACAGATCAGGACTGTGAGGTACAGAGTGAGACAGTGAGGTACAGAGTGGAACAGTGAGGCAAAGAGTGTGACAGTGAGGTACAGAGTGTGACAGTGAGGTACAGAGTGGGACAGTGAGGTACAGAGTGGGACAGTGAGATACAGAGTGGGACAGTGAGGTACAGAGTGAGACAGTGGGGTACAGAGTGAGACAGTGAGGTACAGAGTGGGACAGTGAGGTACAGAGTGAGACAGTGA